GAGACTCTGCCCTGAGAGTTTGCGGTAGGCTGGGGGAAAGGCTGTTGGATTTTTGCTCAGTAGCCTCCAAAAATAGCTGTCCCTGAGAAGCGGTTTTCACGTGGAGAGTTTCCTTGGTGAGGTGCCCTAGCTGGAAACCAAAACGTGATTGCTATCACGGAGGATGTGTAGCGATGCTTTTTTTTGGTCCTTGGAGGCCGTGAGCTGTAACAAAAACCACTGTTGACTGGCAGGGTTGAATGCCTTGTTTTCCTGCACGAAGTACAAAGTTTTGCAAGAGGTCAGAGGTTTGAAATCCAGGCAGCGGAGCTGGTTAAGCTGTTAACTTGGGTGAGGTCAGCCCCTCTTCTTTCTCTCTGGTTATATTGCTGTTCCTGGACACTGGGGCTGCCCATCTAACATGAAGAGCAGTCAGCAGGATCAAGGTTACTCAGATACTTGTTTCTGTGGAACTTGTAATATCACCAGAGAGAGTTCATGCTAAATCATCAGATTGTAAAGTAATTTAGGCTGGAAAGGGCCTTCAGAGGCCCCCGGGCCCAGCCCCTGCTCAAAGCAAGGCTGACCTCAAAGCTGCAGCAAGTTGCCTGAGGCCTCCTCTGGCCCAAACTTGAATTAGGAGCTCATTCATGTGAATACTCAGCTTCCTGAAAGGTAAAATGGTTTCTGTCAAACTGATAATATCTGTTAACTAACCTCCATGGCTCTCTTCATGTAGAAGGGAGCATATGCTCAAGACTCTTCTTTCCAAAATAGGCTAATTCCGAGTAACCTGTGTGCACATCTGAAAGCCTTGGAAGGAATTTGGCAGGATGAAGCCTGTCATTGTGGTGCATGGTGGAGCTGGACGGATCTTTAAAGAACGAGAAGAGGGAAGTCGTGCTGGTGTTGTCAGAGCTGCACTGCAAGGTTATGGTATCCTGAAACAGGGAGGCAGTGCCTTAGATGCAGTTGAGGAGGCAGTACGATCAATGGAAGATGACCCTCATTTTAACGCAGGTAATTTTTCAAGAATTAAGTGGTTTAGGATCCTTATGTATTTTAAGTGTTTTGCCCTGATGCTTCTGAAAATGCTGGCTTGTGTTTTCTTTGAATTATTCACATTGCAATGGCGTAAATACTGGTGTCACTAAATAGTTTCTTTCTGTGTATAGTAAAATAACAAGGTATGTACGGTAGTTTCTCATGAGTACACTAAGGCAGATGAGGTACTTTTTTTCTCATTTTTCAGTGTTTTGTAACTGGCATTTCATTCTTGGGTTGCCTTATTATATTTCTGTAAATCTTCTCCCATTACTGTGCTGCGTATTCAGTTTTAAGATGTGGACTCCTTAATGGAAGATATGTTTAGTCAGCGTTCAAGTTTAAGGCACTTAAATGTAGCTTGCAGCAATGTTTAAGTCTTAACACTTGACCTTTACCTGTTGCCAGAGAAAGATGGTTCTTGGGGATTTTAGGTGTTTTTCTCTTAATTAATGATTTGAGTGAGTGTTCTGGTAGATAATATTACAGAATGAATGCAGTATTGGTATATGAGTCATTAATTTAGACAGTAAGGCTTCATAACTGGAGTTTCTAATGATTAATGTTAAGTCAATAGTTGAATATTTTTCTCCTCTTCATATGACCTCAAATGTATTGTTTTGATGAATGTCAGTTAAAATATTTCTCCACCCCCACTAAGGTATGTCAGGAATGAACATGGACAGAAAGACCTGTCAACGTTCAGTGGTTTAGATAACATAGCTATTAGTTATGTGCACACTTAGTTTGCAGAGATTGTCTTGTTCCTTCTCACCTTTTAATTGAGAGTGAGGGACAGCTTTTACTTCATATGAAACTTTCAGTGTTTTGTTACTGACTTGGGTTGAATATCTTGATTTTTAGAGGATTCAAGCTGAAATAATGAAGCAGACTAAGAAGCGTGGTGTGTACTATTGTATAGTTAACATCAGAGTGGCATTCTCTCATTTAACTTTTACTTAACTGGTCTTGAGCCTTAAGCCCTTGTTCAAGTTTGACTATGCTGATCTAAATGGCAAGTAGTCTGGTTATGAGCTACAGATATACCTAATTGTGTTAACACTCATTAGATACAGCTGCTCTCAGTAGTGGGCAAAAATGAGCTGAAAGCTGTGTGAAGAGGGCTCTGATTGGAGTGGCTGTTTAAAACTCACCGTGTGGTATTTGTACAGAAAAATCAGGCTTACTGTAATATTTTCTAGGAAAACACAGACATTGCGAAGACAACAGTAAAGATTGGGAAGAATGGGCATAATGATCAAGTTATGTCCTTTTTTGAATGATAGGGTTTAGCTATGCTGTGTAGATACATCTTGATGTAGGCTTGGTGGAGGGGTTCAGAAGCTATACTGTTGTCTAAACCTGCTATGTTAGTGACTTGGGCAGCATAATGAAGCCATCGGGTTCTGCTTGTGATGAGGAAGTGGCCTTGGTTCTATCTCCTTCATAAGGGATCTCATTGACTAACAGTACTAACTAGGTTGTTGTGAATACTCCAGATATGATTGTTGTGAATACTCCAGATATGATTCTATATAAGAACTGTCATTATAGTGATCTTTTCCGCCTCAGCCTTTGCAGGACAGAGGCCAGATCTATCTGTAGACAGAGGGAATTGAAGTACTGCTCTTGGCACCTTTGCTGTGATGTGGCCAATGTCAGACATGTTTGTTATTTGTGTCCCCTTAGATTTTCTGTCTTCTGTTGTCTCTCTGGTTTTTTCCCCTGCTGTTTGCTTCACAAGTGAGACAAGCTTTTTTTTTTTTCTTTTCAGTGCTGCTGCCAATGGATACCATGGCCTCAGAGGCAGGTAGTCCCTAACCATCATGCTGGAATGCAGGTGAAAAGGCAGTCTGTAACCACAGAAGGAAGGATTCGTCCTACCTCAGATAACCTGAAGTTTAGTATCTGGCCTTGCCATAGTGTACAGGCTTTCACGGTGGTCAGTGGAATGAGAAAGGGTGGCTGTACAGCTCTAAGAAAACAAAGATGACTTACTCCTTGTGCTAGCATAAAGGAGAAGCTGGAAGAATTTTGTTAACACGATTGGCACAGATCTGTGTAGTCTAGAAATTAGCACATTGTGAATGATGCAGGGCTAAACTCTGGAATAGTTTATGCAGACAGAGAGGGGCAAAAATTAACATTTTGGGGGCAGAGTTCAGGCATGTCTGTGTACGGCAGGGGGAGTTTTGGAGATTACAGGAGGAGGATTACAGGATTTTGTTGCCTCCTATAACAGGGGATTTAACTTCATATATTCAGGTCTGAAGTACATTGGTATAGAAGTCTTACGTCAACAATTATTAACAGTGGTTTCTGGCCTGCTTTAATGTTGGTTTAATAGAAATTTTAAAAACATGGTTTAGCTGTGTACAATGCTCAGTGTTTCTACCTGAGCTACTGTGCAAGTCTGCTGTGTTTTGTTTGGTGGTTTTTTTACTTCTTTTTAAGTTTAGTCTTTTCCATCCTTATTAGCAAGGCTTGTGCACTTGATGACTTACAAAATGAGACAGTGGAAATAGGCTTTTTTTAAAAATAATACCAATAACTGTATTATGGGGGAATAATCAGTTGTATCTCATTAATTTTTGTTTAGGTTAGTGATAGCACCAATAATTATAGAAGAAATTAACTACCCAAGATTTTATTATTTTATTTATTTTTTTAATTCCTTCATCTATTATTTTTATTTGGTAATGAAGAACTGGTTTTTTCAAGCTTTTGTTACACTAGTAAGTGGACGCTTTTATTCTGCTTCATCAGTTTTGTCAGTTTCTGGGAATGCTGTGTGACGTTAATCTGTTGATAAGATTGAACACTACACTTTTGTTGGGTGATGTATCCTCTTTTGGAAGAACTGTAAAGGTAGAATAGTTTTATGTGCACTTGAAGTGATCTGGGGGATATAGAATTCTGTTCATGATTGCTGGTCATTTTAACTTTTGTACCTAGTATATAATTTTTTGTATGGAATTGGAAGTGTGCTTTTCATCTTATGAAAATAAAACTCATTTTTAAACTAGACCTTGTACCCTGTGAGACTTCTGTTAATGGTTAGATTTTGTGGTTATACACAGCCGTGTTTCTGCTCTTTTGTTTGTATTCAGGAGATACTTTCAGTAAATCAGGCAACAAACTGTGAAGGAGAAAGTTTGCTTGATGAGATCAAATAATTGAATCACCTGATGGTTAGCTCATAATGACTCTCTTTTTTTTCCCTTTCCTCCCTGATTTTTTTTTTTTTTTTTTTTTGTCTTTAGGTTGTGGATCTGTTCTAAATGAAAAAGGTGAAGTAGAAATGGATGCCATTATCATGGATGGAAAAAATTTAGACTCTGGAGCAGTATCCGCAGTTAAATGTATAGCAAACCCAATAAAACTTGCTCGACTTGTCATGGAAAAGGTATGCTCAAAACGTACTTGAGTATGAAGCCTTTTTTCCCCTTAGAACTTCATCCAGTATATTGGTACTCTTCAGTGCAGTGCTTTAAGGCAGGAAAGAAGGGAGAAATAGATGGAATAGTATAGTTTCCAAATACTACTTGGAAACTATGGTCATGACCATGAAGGACTTTTATTTAAAGGGTTTTGAGAGGTATTTATTAAAAATAGCATTCTAAGGAAACATAAGTTCTGCCATGCAGTTGGAAGCTCAAGGAGAAATTGACCTATACATGTTCATCTTCTGTAGCTCCACAGTTGAAGATTTCTTGGGGGGGGTGCGCCTTTTTGTTCACTTGTTTTTTGAAGAGCTTTTGTGCTGTCACTGAGTCTTCTGCTTGATCTTGCAAGATCAAAGTTGGATAATGTACTGTTGACTTTGCAATGACATGGAACTGAGTTAAGTGACCCAATAACGGACTTGGCCATGTAACATAGTCTTACGTTGTTCTAGGTGGCCTTCACCATTGTGACCTCATCAGATGGTAGCCTTAGTGCAAAGTTGTGGTTTTCAAGCAGTTAAAGATAACATTAACACTATGTGATGGTGACAGATTTTCGTAGAAAATCAAACTTACCAGAGCAGCAATATGATTATTACTTGACATTCTATGTAAAGTCAATGCCACCTTCCTCCACTAAGAAGTCCCTCTAATATCTGCCACAGCAGACTTCTCTCATTTTTCAGAAATGGTCCAAGTGGCATGGTTCAGGATGGAGTAGGTCATTTGTGTGATATGTGCATCTGTTTTACCATTATTAGACTGTGACAGTGATCAAAAAGTTTACATTTTTCATCCTGCTAGAGCAGCTGCCCCATTGTTGGGAAGGGTTCGTATTTGCAAAAACACTTATTATAAGGATTTATGTTTCTTTAACCTTTTGAAGTGACTTTTGAGGAAACAAAACCTCTTGGTAATCTGTGAAGATGATTGAAATGTAATTTGTCCTCAACAGCCTCCAAAGGTAGGAATTATTTTTGCCTTTAATTGGAGGATAGTTCTGCTTTTATAAATCAGAACTTTTCACTAAAGTATTCAATATAAATAATTTTTAAAATGTGTGTCCACTAGAAAACAATGTTAAAACTTGTGATGAGTAAGCTTTTTGTTCCTTCACATGGGATTCATTCTGTCATTTAACTAGAACAAATAAATAGGTATAGCTGGTAGACAGCTACACCAAAACCAAGTTTTTCAAAATTTGAGAATGTAGGTGGAGGGCTGGGGGAGAGATGTCTTCTAGCATGCTGGGGAGGAGTATTGTATTTTTTTCTGTAGATAACTTCTTGTAATGCCCATTGTTCAGTTCATATTCCAGAATCACTGATTTTTTTTGTCTTGTCCATGACAAAGTCACAGTTAAGTCAGCAAGAATAAAGTCAAAACAACATTGTTGGTTTTTGGGAACATAACTTTCCAAAATGTTTTTAAAAAAGCAAAACAGCCCCCCCATACACACCAAAAAAAACCCCCTCTCCTTTGTCTTTCTTGTCTATTACAAGGTCTTTCTTGTCATTGTGTGGTGCTTGTGGTGTTCAAAAATGTTGAGGCTAAATTTGAAAGGAAATAATAAAATTCAACTGTACAGAACCAAGTATAACAGTATGGCCCTAAAACCATGAAATTTTGTGGTAAAGTTTGTTACTCTTTGCCTAGATGCAAAAAAATCTGTGTAGATGGGAAAGTTCAAATGTAAAGGTTAGCCTAATTTGCTTGGTATGTCTTGAGGTGAGTTTCTGCTGCTTCTCTGTCAGGTATTGTAAATGGGAATACCAGCTGATGTTATTCTTCTGTTCATCTTGGACAGGAATTTTGGGACACCAGCAAGGCAATTTCACAGTACTTTTCAGAGTGTATTTTGGGGGTTTTTTGTTTGTTTGTTTTTTTTACTGTGCATAATTAAAAATATTTTTGAACTCTGTGCCCCATGGGTAATAAGACTGTAGTTTTCCTGAGGTCCTACGCATGTTAGGATGTTTATTTCCCAGTGGTTTTGAAATGCCTCACTGCCTTAAGGAATTCTGAAGCATACAGCTCCCAAAACCAAAAAAAAACCCCAAAAAACCCAAAAAACACCCAAACAAAAAAACCAGCCCTCTCCACCTGCTTGTAATATTCTGTATTTCCATTCCTGTTGTGGAACAATATGGGCTCCATCTGGTGGCCAGTGTAGCACCTCTAGATTGTTGTTGCGCGCATCTATCCTGTTCCTATTCTCACTGAGCTCCAACTCGTCCAAATTCATAAGGTAGAAGAAAGGAGGGCAGCAGAATAATTTCCATTCATGATTTATTATGCTACTGAGCATAGCAGTTTCTAGAGATGGAAGGCTTTTAGTATGTTAACTAATTAATTCCACAAATCCATGAGAAAGTAGTTAAAAGTCCTGTAGCATTATTCCTGTTTGGAGTGAACAAAAATTGAATGATCATTGAAATGGCTTTTTTTTTTTTAAGTGGGGTACGTAATCCCCCTCAGCTCCAACACCTCATTAAAAAATTTAGTGTGGATTCGTTGGGATACATTGTTTTCCCTTGCTGTGTCATCCAACTCTTTGTTAGACAAACGTGAATTTAGCTTAGAATGTAGACTTCTCAAGGCAAAGGTGCAAATTTTTGCTGTGCTGTGTGCATTACCAGGATTGTTAAATGAAGAACAGGGATGGTCTGAATTTCAGGCCAGCTGCAGAAATTTGAGGGATTTTCTCTTCCCTGTTATCCATGAAATTAGCTAAACTTGGCGATGTTTGTTAGTAAGATCTCTAGAACCCTTTCTTTTTTTTTTTGTTTTTTATTTTTTTGGTCCTTTTGGATTACTTTGTATAAATGTGTCCTAGAAGAATTAGGCACTTAAAAAAATTAGCAAATGTGTTCATGAAACTGTAGAAGAAAGATAAGACAGAAAATGTGCTTTTGGGTTTTTTTGTCAATGTTCTACCAGCTCTTTTGATCAACGAGATGTATTGAAGAGAAAAACAGATAAAATTCTCCTTACAATACGTTATTTTCAGTGATGACTGAAAAGAAATCAACCCCAACAAACAAAAAAAATGAACAAACAAACAAGACCAAACCAAAACTGCCCCCCCGAACTTAACTTATCCTAGAAACTTATTTCTCTGTATGCAGGTGTTTCTTGTTTGTGCAGCTTAGGAAGGTGGGTATGTTATCAGAATTTGCATATGGGAGGGAACCCTTCGAAAAAATTTTAAGAAATAACTTTTTTTTTACAATAAAACTTTAGCTCTTTTAAACTTATTTAAAAGATGATAATCAAATTTTAATTGCAGAAGAAAATAAATTATAGAGGACACAACCTTCTGATACAGATAAAGTCAAAAGAAAAGTTCAATATATTTCCTAAAAATAAAACCAAAAAAAAACCCCAAAACCAAAGCCCATTTGAGTTATTGGATCATGTGCTTCTGGTGGTTTAGTGGCAGAAGGGGGCAGTATTGCTCAAAGAAGCTGTCTTTTGAGTAGGAAGAACACTCGGCTTTGTGAGAAATAGGTGAGTCTTATCATCTGGAGACATCACTCAGCATCTAAGCCTACTGTCCACTCTTTCACATCTAGAGAGGATTTCTTCCTTGTAACCCTTACCCTTGCTCTCTAAAGCAATACTCTCATGAATTGAGGACTTACTTTGTCAATAAAAAAGATAAGTTCTCAAAAATGCATAGTGGCAGTGCCTCCACATATGTGAATGACTGTTTGGGAATGTTTCAAGTGTAGTTGCGTTTCCCGCTCCTGTAACCGTCTGAAGGGGCTAGTGCAGATGGTTTGGGAAGAGGTTCAGCTTGAATCCTTTAAAACAAGGCGATGCTATGGCTTGGTCATAGTAGTGCTTGCTTGTCATTGCTTTAGAAATCAACAGAAGTTGGTGGTTTGCAGCATCTTGAAGTCTGAAGCTTTGAGACTGTAAATGTCCCATGGAATGCAGCGTGACACAGAAATACCCAACCTCTGGCATCCTTACTTCAGGCTGAGAGCAAAGTATGTGCCGCTGCAGTCTCCTACTTGTCTCTGCAGGCCTGCTGCCTCCAGCATCACATGGTTCTACCTTTTGGACCTTTACATTTTGGTATTTGTGTCCTGTGCTCCTGCGTGGACATAAAAGCTTGTTTGCAGTTAGCTGCTGTGCTCTCAAATAACTCCATATTGTATAGTCGGATCACTGCTCCTCCAAAACCTTCCCGGGCGCTGATGATCAATTAACAGCTCTGTAGTGGTCCAAGAGGGTGATGCTTATTTTTGGACACAGATTTAAAAAACAACAACAACAACAACAAAAAACAAACAAACAAAACAAAAAAACAAAACAGAGCTCCTACTAAAGTATAAGGATTAATGAAACAAATTTATATGGCAAGTTTCTCTAAAATAGGAATTAACCCAGCTATACAGACTTTGAAGGATGGAATTAACTAAGGTTGTTGACTTAAAATCTGGTCCAAGTGCTCTGCTAAATAAAGGAGTCAAAATAGAGATTCTGCAAATGTTAGAGCAAACATTTTTTTTGTCAAACCTATGAGAACAATATTCTGTTCTTAAATTTGAAATTCTGGGTGTATATGAGTAGCAGCTAGTTGAAGGAAGTCTTTAAAATAAAATGGTTTCGCTCATGTTAAAAAACACTTTAGTGTATGGTATTTACATTTTTGGGTTATTTTACTCTTATGGGGTGTAATACCTTCAAGCTGAACAGGAATTTATTTATCATTCTTTCCTTCTGAGTAAAATCCTTCTAGATCTTTTAGTTAACTGAATTAGTTAAGTAGTAATTTGGTGATTGACTGGAAATGGTACAAAGAAGTTGCATACAAATTAGCAAAAGAGCAAATTTACAGTTTTTTCTTTTCCCATTGTAGTAAGTATTAAATAGATACATGCAATTCTTTAGTCCTAATGATGAAAGTTTGTATCTGTGTTTCGGAGAGCTAGTGGAAGAGGATATAGGCACAGAAACCTAGAAAGTTTAAAAATAAAACAAAATTCAGAATTTTCTTCTGTGGATGGTTCTAAAAATAGAGTGATTATACAAAACTGCTCAGTACAAGGCAAACAAGAATTGTCAGTGAATCTCTTGTCTCTTTTCTGCAGACGAAGCACATGCTGCTGACTGACCATGGTGCACACCTGTTTGCTCAGGCCATGGGTATTCCTGAGACTCCAGGGGAGAAACTCATAACCAAGAGATCCCAGGAGAGATGGAGGAAGAATCTTGAGCCAGATTCCAACCCTGAAGAGTTTCAGAAGTAGGGTTTTTGTTAAATACTTTTTCTTTTTAAATTCAGGCAATTTATTTTGTGCTATCAGTTCAAAACCAACAAAAAACCCCAAAGCTTGAAGGCCTGCATTCAGACTTGAGAATACTTCTGTTCCGAGTGCTACGTGGTTTGGTACAGTCTTCACAGTATGTCTTCAGTGAACGTAGTGAAAAATAAAGCTTTCAGTGAATTTGCTCAAGTGTAAGTGATTGGAACAAACTTAAACTAACTTGTTGATTCTTAAGAAGATTGTTGGTTGCTTTGACATAGTGTAGGTTTTGTGGCGTTAATGGAGGACAAAATCAGAACTTACTATTGCTCTTAAAATCACCAGTTCCAGAAGTGCATGGAGCACCTGTAACAAACTGCAGGCATCACTCTTTTCCATGGAGGAATTGTGATTTTTAAAAAATCTCCAATCCACATTTTAAAACAAGTCCATGGGAAAAAAAAAAAAAATAAAGCTGATCTTGGTTAATTATATGATCTGATTTGTCTTTGAACTGGATTAGATAGTTAAACGACATAGGATTTTGACTAGTAACTCCTTCTGAGTGCTGATTGTGGCTGTTGGTTATTGTAGATAGGAATGAAAAAATTGACCGAGAAGTTCAGTGTAGTGGTAGGTGTGAAAAGAGATGCTACTGGATGGTATTGCACAACAGCAAAATGAAAGTCACTTGAAAAATGAGCAAGTCTAATGTAAAGTAGAGAGGAAGGTGAGGTGGATGGGAAAGGAAGGAAAATCATCAGGCATCAAAAATGTTTCTTATACCTGTGAGGCAGGCATAAATGCTAAACTGTTTTGAGCTTCCAGCTGTATGTCAATGGTTGTGGCATAGGAAAACGTTGTATTACGTTATGTAAATGCTGTATTACATATTGTTCATCTGTTCTGTGAAATAATAGTAATGAGAGCTTGGTCTCCTAAGTATGTAAATTGGAATACCATGGCATCTGAATCTCCATTCATTCTTTACAACTGCCTTTTTTTTTTCTTTTTCTTTCTTTTTTCGTTTTTTTGTTTTTTCGTTTTTTCATTTTTTCATTTGTTTTTTCTTTTCTCTTTTTTCTTTTTGTTCTTTTTTTCTTT